TTTTTCTCTGGTTAAACCAGGAGAAGCCATGTACCGCATTTTTAGAGTACATGCAGCCAGTTGCTAAGAATTTCAATACATCATTACTTTAACGACAATGTGGGCTTATTTAAGTAGTTACTATGGCAGTGTCAGCACATGGCTCTTGGTTGTAGAGCCTCATAAACCCGTACATAACGCTGCATGTTTTGAATAATATTATATTCTGAAGGTTGGACACGTTTTTTATGATTATTTACTAATTTATCCAAAATAGAAATATATGATATTGATTACAATTTTCGTTAATAGATTGCCTGTTATTTTAAAACCGACCAAAAACAATTATTAAATGTACGACATTTATCATGGATAAAAAAAGAAAAATATCTACTTAGAGCACAACAGGCGAGCACCATATATGGAAATGACCTTGTTAACATTCCTTTATTATTTGTGAAGAAACAGCGTAAAAAATATGATTGTCGATAAAAAGGAAGCATTTTAACTTTTTTTTTCATCTCGTGTTGACCAGATAACTACGTTTATGACTTGATTTACTAATGGTACTGTTTATTATTATCCTATACTACCATATCCAACCCGTTACTGGCAGCTCAGCAGTGTTACCTGTTATATTAATGGTATATCGGCGATTGTTTATGACATGTACACTGTACATGTTTAAGCTGGATCGCACAGGCGGTGTTATCAGCCATCTCCCGTAAGTGTCGCGATGTTACATCAGACAAGATAGTATGACGTCACATCAGGCAAAGTAACATGATGTGTATTTAAACTGATGTGAACTTTTATGACCACCTTATGTCCTCATATGCATTCATACAAATGCACCAATATGATTATTATAGTATAACCTTATAAAACAAATCACATATCCAGTGTATCCCGTGTTCCGCCAACGTCTAATACATAGATATAGTCATCGTATAAGGAGGAAATAAATTAGCAATTGTCAGACTCAGTTAAAGATTTTTCTAACGTTTTCGAATTCTGACTTATCTAATCTACCACAATATGCATTTTGTTGATTATATATATATATATTTAGACTGACCTTTTGCGTACACAAGCTTTTGTCTCGCAATGTCTCGTTTTGACTTCACCAACAACTTATACGTTGCAATACAATTGCATTACGAGGGAGAATTTTGGAAGAGCGTCGCACGAGCATTATCAATTGGCAAAAACAATCATGCGCGTATCTATCTACAATAATACAAATTTATTAACCAATGCAATGTACTTCGACAACCTGGTAGAATACTATCAATCCCATAACTTGATAGCTCGTACCCAAAGTCCATTGCAGGTGTTCTTCACATACACATACACATTCCTTTCACTGTTGGTCTCATTTTATTCATCATTTTTTATATTGGAGCCAAATCTTCCTTAGTGACACCCATAGAACTACAATACATATGTATCTATCATCAGTAAGGTGAAATTCAGTGCTGGAGTCATTTAGATTTTGTCTATATCTATCATCAGTAAGGTGAAATTCAGTGCTGGGATATTTTATTTTTCAATTCAAGGTCCTTTGTTTGTCAGGCATGCTTTGTAACATTGTTGTGTAAGACAGAGGGGATATCCTTCTAGACAACCTTGAGTAAATCCTCTTGAAGTGGAAATGAAGCGACTGCGTGGGGTTTCTTACAAACCGTTTGTATTGGTTTTCACTTGTCAGAAATCATCCATTCTCTGCATGGGATGTAAAACGCAGATAGAAATCTCACTAGCAATTTCAGCACGGTAATACGGTGATTTCACTTTGATGACAGTAGCAAACGTGAACTATAAATCGAAATTACTTTTTTTGCTACAGTTTTAATGTAGATTCTGGCTATTCATAATGATCTACGGTTGTTTTGAATATTTGAATGATTTTAATTTGCATATTGTGTAAAAAGGTAACCTGTTAACGAACAAGAGTTATCGTTTGGACGTATAAGGAAATTGTTAATTTGAGACGCGCGAATCGTTGATGTTATGTAATGCCTCCATACCTTGCAGGTGCCCGTGGAGGTAGGTCGTTATCAAACTTTGATGTGGAAAGCACATGCATATTAATATTGATCAAACATCAGGTCGAAAACAGAAAGTCATTTTCCGACTCGGCCATTCTTTTACCTTGGTATTGATTCAGCTTAAAATCTGAATAATAACTTTGTCGTACCTTTGTTGTTCACATTAGATTAATTAAAGCTCCGACTGACAGGTGAATGTAGTGCTGGTTGTTGTTATGTACGTGGTCTGGGTGTTCCCGAGATCGGGTCAGGGAGCACCATGTTCCCTATTGTTACAAACATATTAGCGCGCGCACGAACCGTAATTTAATTTCACCTACCTCTATATCATATGCAGAAAATGTTATTAATTAGTCGACATATAATTTATATCATCCAGGCCCTTTCATTTTTCACCGTCGCTTTATAAAGTAAATAGCTATCAAATTCCTGTCGAAAGAAATTCCACCCGAATCCATGCAACCAGATGAAACATGATTTTGCACGGGCATGTTTAATAATAAAATAAATCAGCTGTATTTTCTTGTGTACACATTAAATCAAATTTTTTATTCACCAGTATCAGATTTTGTATTGGCCTTTACAAGCTGAAATTACAGATTCTGTAGGAAATGTCAACATACTTTGAAAGTGGCCTGTAACAGCATGTCGCTTGGTTGACGTTTGTGGTGTTCGACTGCAGGAATCTTTATACTTATATTTATCCGGGTTGTACTGTTAAGAAATTTGTCACTCCTTATTCGTTTATTTAGTTAAATATTTAGTCATTCTCAACAACTATTGAATTAGTGAAATATGTCAATGATTATTTTTAATCGAATGACAATACAACTCGTGTATTGGTGCCTGCTTTGTTAGGTCGTGTAAAATAATACATTGTAGATATCTGATTTCTGATTTAAACTTCATCCAGGACACTCTCCATGCTGTGTTTGAACAACTGTTATGTGAACACATAATATTTCTATAGTTATTAATCATGTTCTTTCTTCTGAATTAAGCGACCTCTGTACTAGCCTAGCATACTAGTATTTCGACACCCTAGGACTGCCTACTCCTGAAGTAAGCGACCTCTGTACTAACCTAGCCTACTAGTATTTCGACACCCTAGGACTGCCTACTCCTGATGTAAGCGACCTCTGTACTAACCTAGCCTACTAGTATTTCGACACCAAGGGCTTCCTACTCCTGAAGCAATCGACCTCTGTAATGGCCTATCCTACTAGTATTTCGACACATTTGGACTAACTTCTTCTGAGATGAGCGACTTTCGTACTAGCATAGCCTACTAGTATTTCGACACCCTGGGACTGCCTTCTTCTTAAGTAAGCGACATCTGTAGTGGTCTATACTACTAGTATTTCGACATCCTGGGACTGCCTACTTCTTAAGTAAGCGACATCTGTAGTGGTCCATCCTTCTTGTAGTTCGACAATTGTTAGGACTACAATTTTTTACAACAGGTCAACATAACTGAATTGTTTTATCTGCCACGTTTTGTTACATATGTATATCATGACATTCACTTGTTGGAAATATGTTAATACCCTTACATAAACCCTAAAAATATGTCCAAATAGGGCTTGATAAAACCGTGTCTTATCTCAGGTTGCAGCTGACATGAAAATGTAGGAACTCATACTCCAAGTGTGAAACAATTTAATCTACAAAGTGACAGCTTAGAAATGGACTCCTGAAGTCCATGAACGTTTTCTTCAATGTACCAATGACTTAATGAAGGCTCATTGGTTTACTTAACAAAGTACCTTATACAGTCATGCTGATAACTGTTGGCTCGCTGCAGTGACAGTTACACTGACTTAGTCAAAGTTCTAGAAGTAGAGAACAGGGCCCGTATTCATGAAACCGTTCTCATGCTCATATTCATAATCTGTGCTCAAGCATAATTTCTGCTTCCGGTGATAAAGTAATAAAAAACACTTTTTGTGTATGATTTGGAAGAATTTTGGATAGACTTAGAGCAAAATATCGGTTTCAATGTTAACACTTTGATCGTGAAATCGAATTTAAGAGAATTACAAGAAAGTTGGCTTGAGCACATAATCCATGCTTAAGCGTGAGAATATTTTCATATGCATATGGGCCCTGGTTTAGTTACAAAGGTATGAAAGTACAGACACATTTTAAAGCATGTTTATTGGTAAAATGTCCTACGTATAAATGATGTATTAAGATACGTTTCAGTGATATACATCGACTTGATATGAGAAGCACAAAAAGGCGAAGAAAAGGCGTCAAACAGTATGGTATGTCTATTGATACAGATTGGTAATAAGCTGACGTAAGTAGGAACATTTAAAAGTTTGATTTCCTCTCACAAGCATGGCTTGAACAAAGAACACATTTTGGGCTGTTTTGAGAACGGTTTACAGCTCCCCTTTATGTCACCAAATAGAGGGCACAAGAGCAAATCCCCAATTTTGCAGGGGATTCCCACATTAGTTACCTCTTACGATACATCGTGTGGCTAACAGCAGTGGGTCCTACAAGAGTAGGTTTGTCTGATCTATGATAACATTGGCCACTAGTTAAGTTATCTGACCTATTGTACATTGTCTATCTAGTAAAACTTCAAACACATGTTTTAAACCTCACTGAATTGCAAAAATGTAGGCATATTAAGTCTAACAAATTAGGCCAATGATTTGTTATTTCTGTATTTTTGCTGCCACAATTGGCGGACTAATTAACGTTTCCCTACCAGTGTTTCGCTATTCATTAACTACTGTTAAACTTTGATTTAAAATCGATGACCATTTCCGTACCTGGCCGAGACGTCGGTCACTCCCATTAGGGTCATAAGAAACCAACTCTTTACGGGATATAATGGCTTGTGGGGTTTTAAATACAGAAATGTGTACTAGGTGTATACTCCATAGACTGTAGTGTTAATCACATTCCTTGAGTGTAAATACGAAGGTGATGATTAACAAAGGTGTATTTCCTCTTGTTGTGACCGAGCTGTCGTGGCGAGTTGTAAACCAACGGATACCTAGAATAGTTGATATTGATTCGATTTCTATATTTGATGAGATATTTTAACTTTAGAACGGTTTTAAACATTGATATAAATAGTATTGATATCGGTCACTTGGAGAGCAATACTTGTTTTGAAGTGAACAATCGGTGAATGAAACTATTGGAGAGAGCAGTATTTAAACAGGGACACAGTAGATGTATTGGAGAGAGTGTTAGTTGTGCAGGGACACGGTAGTGACCTCTTCAGGGCCACAATAGGGACATGTGAGTGCGCTTCACCTCTGCATTCACATAGTGTAATACACACAGTGACCGGAAGGAAAGATAATTCTTTGACTTCTAAAGCAGACACAAGTTAATGGAATGGATACACAAAGAAATGGTATGTAATAAATGTTTTATGAGGTTTGTAAATAAACTCCATAGAGTAAATTTTCCAATGATTTGTATGTGATAATATATAAAATTAAAGCTATGCTATTTATATAAGTAAACCGATTTGGTGGAATAGAAAATTGAGCATACACACGTTTGATGTTGGCTACGACAGCATTCTTAGGTACTGCTGCTGAATGTCATTGTAGTGATGTCAACAAATGACAGAGTAAACAGTGTCCCTTGCCCTGATGGACTACTTTGGCACTTCTTATCCTCCTTCAAGGGTATCACTATTTGTTCTCCTGGTGATTATTTCCTATCTTCATATTGGAGCCGTTAATAATTCCGTCAATGCTCCAACCGCCAAATACCTATATCTTTATAATGTTTTTGAAATGGAATTTTCTCCTGGTTTTGTCTAGTAGCATCACAACATTCACAGTTTGGGAGTTGGGGATACTCTTAACGAAAGGACATGTCAAGGTATCTTCATAAAATGTATTTTACAAATGCAATGTGGCCTTACGGAAATATCGATTGAAAGATTACCTTGTTCATATGTCATAAAACTTATGCAATCAAACCATTCTAGCCATACAATGCATACGCAGGTCAAAGAATACAGATTACAATAATATAATTAAGAATTTAACATATATGTGTTTGATGTACGGAACTGTTTTGTGTACCTCATACAAGTTTAAAAGATGCGTTTCAATCATCTTTTTTAACATTAAAAACAATAAAGAAAATTCATTTATGAAAATAAAAAGATAATAATATTGCCCTTTTTTTCAAGAATTATCGAATGTTGTTGTATTGTAGTAACTACGACTATGATATATATATATGTATTTCATAATTTCATGAAAATACATGAAAAGAACAGTCTGCTTTGGGATTAAAAATTATGACCAGGTTCATGTAACGACTCCTGTTTTAAAATGTATCATAATGAATCATTTCTTAAATAGATAGTTCTCGTACGTACATGTATATATAATCAACCAAACAATATTTGCAATTGGTCCTGTGTCGCCATACCAAACGTCGTTTAGGATAAGCAACATTATCATGCATTTCTACGTAAAATCTAGGATCCCGAACCCTATCTTACTGAATCAATATGTTGCATAGCCCATAGATTCTTATATAAAAAAAACCAAAAAAAAACATTTCGATGAACAAAGTGAGTTAGTTGCACATGTAAACATTTAGAGTACAGTAAGTACATAATAGTGCGAATTTTCATTTCATTAATTTGATGGCAAGGAATTCGACCGAGATCTTCCGTAATCTTCACATCGGAAACGCTGTATTCACACAGTAATGAATTTAATATTTGTTTTCATTCTATTTCTATTCTCTTTTTACATGATTAATTTCGTGGGTCGTGTGTGGCCCTGGTCGTTTATCGTTGTTGTTCGTGACATGGAAAGTGAACACATAACGGCTGATTACTTCAATAACAGTAACGAGAAATAAATTGAGAACTCTATTAATTTAAGTCTTTTCTGGATACACAATATAACCCGAAGGAGGCTGACCATCAGGGTCGCCTACCGGGGAATTATTATTATGATTGTGAGGAAAGCCATAACTCATTTTGAGAAGGGGCGGAGAAATGGGAGGGCTAGATAGCTTTGAAGTGTCCATTGTACAAAAACTTTTGTAGTTGTTTTGAAAGATTTTATCGCGTAAAGATTATTAATTTTTGTGATGCCATTGTGTTTTAAAATTATTCAGACAAGTTCTCATAACCGATTCAGCCATTGATCCCTACAATGAACGGTATAGGTCTGTATTCACCTGTACCATCATTGAAGTAAGCAAGTAAGTGAGAACTGACTTTGCTATCAAGCTGGTCCTCACTCATACATGACGGAGATAACAACAAAACGATTTAAAAGCTGGATACGTTACACACGCATAGCATTGTGTATTCCCTACAGCTTACTGTAAATAAGGCGACTAAGGCCTACCTACAGAAGATCATCAGTGTCCTAATTAATTTCCATTTTAAGTGTTGACTCCAAAACGGTTATGTTTAGGTTCGTTTCTATATTAGTTTACTAGTTGAATATTATGATTTTCCTTTGAACCTGTGCAAATTCCTCTGATATAAAATATTTTGGCTCGTAAGAGGGTAGGTCGTGTGGATCCTTTCAGAATCAGTTCATTTTCTATTTCTCGTTGAAGAGACATCAACAACAAATGTGCCATATCATATGAAGCTTCATTGTTACGTTATGACGTTTTAAAGATGGACGCTAAGATGACTCAATTCAATGTTCACCATCCCAATTATGAACTCATAAATGATTTTTACACCATAAACAGTTTTTATGTTAATTTGATATCATCTCTTCAATAGCTTATCCACCATGGCAGCTTTTAGTTCGTGTTTTGGAAGATACTTTCCCGTCATCCTTTGTGGATTTTGAAATCGTCCATTGACCTGCTGGACCCATTGCAAAATTGACAAAACTTTTTGCTACATGTTCTTGTAGCATTGTCTTTGTTGTACTGACGGGCTATTTACAATGTCCAGACAATACTCGGTATGTTATACATCAGAGCGCTCCCTACGTAATCAGTGTCGCATACGAGGTTATTTTTTCTGTGTACATGCCATGCTCTGGCTTGCTTTAATCCTTCTATTGGTTCGTGCGGAAGTTATCCTAGTTCATAGATATTGATTAGATGCCTTCAGTAATTTACTCTTTATTGAAACAGTAGTTCTATCAACAAACCTCGGAATAGACAATCTTGTAAACTGAAGTTCTTTGCGTTTTAAGTTGTCTAATTTACATAGACATGGAACCCTTAAGGTTCTTCACTCAGAAACATTGTTTGACATGTATATTGAAGCACGTGCAGCTTATCGATAATCCCCGGATGTAAATGCCCTTGTATCAATGTTTGTTGTCCCAAAATCGTCACCAGCAAGACAATATACTACAGGATAAACAAAGTTCGACAAAGAGAGATGATAGAAAGTCGTTATTAGACTGGGATGAGGGTTGTATAAACAAACGGTGTGTACCGACACGGCCACTGGAGGAGCCCATATTTCTCCCGAGGACCGACCATACCTTTATGTGGTATACTCTGTCTTTATTGGCAATGTTTATGATACGGCCGGATCTCTACTCTGTGATATAAGGACGTTTGTCATTATACATACGATCGATCAGTTATGCATACAGAAAGTTAGACTCAATTTCTTATTTTCATTAATCCATAGGATTTTAGCTGACTGGTACATAACCAGATCAGCTTTCAAAGACGAACACTGTTATGTTGTATGATAACATAAAGTATTTTGCTCGCCATCTCCCACCGGAACTGAAATGGTCGAAACACAAAAACATGGTATGTGTCAATTATGTAATTGTGGAACAAAGTTCGACTCTTTGATAGGACATATTCCATTTTTAATTCAAGGTCAAGTATAAACATGTCTTCATTCATGTATATCTATCCGAGACGTTGCCCGTTTGTCCGTTAATTTAATTTTTGGTCATTTGTTGTGTCTAAGCGGCACAAATTACCAAATACATACACATGCGTGAGTGTTTTAAAAGCAATCACGGAGAGACCTCTAGCGGACTGGGTTGATGAGGCTAAGACACGTGAAGTACTTACTTAATGGGGACGGCCTCAGGTTACACAGGTAACACACGCAAGTAAATCAAGGTAATACCGGAAGTTCTTACGTGGGTCGGACATGTATCCGATCGATAGACGATCGCGAAGCTGTAAATTTGTCCTCATCAACAATAAGAGATATCTCCACCGTGGACAGGAGTAGTGTTGGGCGGGGAAGTCGATGTGAACTGACTTCTTTGGATACAGTGTGATATTTAAGCCGACTCCTTTGTATGTTTAAGTTCCGTGTCCATTCTTGCCAGGATTCAAATATTTTATTGTAGAATCGGTGTTTGACCATCCATTAATATTTATGTTGTCCTTCAATTCCTAAAAAGAAACGGTACTATTGGCTGCGAACTTTGTAATAACGGTTTTGATAACATTATAACTCGCCAGATACCAGAGTCCACTAATATGACAACATCCCTAGATTATTTTGCAATGCGCATATATAACCAAATTGACTCCCTTATATATATCCCATGCATTTCCTTCTGTGCTGGTGATTCAGAGATCCTATATTCCTCTGCTCAAGAGATGGTAATGTTTCCCTCTTATAAATATCCTTCAGGATTCATATAACTCATGATTCACAAATCCCATCAATGTTTTATCGATGTTTAACATGAACGTTGCTCCAGTTATTTTACACAATCACTTTTCCAGAGATTCTCCATGTTTCAAAGGACCTCTGCTTTAGCGCACCAACATACTTTGATAGACTGTGGTCATTGCGCTATCGGGGTTTCAATTATCCGAATGATGCACATATCAGAATAGCGTGTAGAATAACCTGTTTGTAGTTTATTTTTACCTGTGAAGTTTATGTGTAAATCAGGTGTAAAGCCGTTTAGGTATCGCATGAACCGAAGGTGGATCTGTAACATGTTGTTACGATTAAAGGTACATAGGTAAGTGTTATACCTGTCACTAATGACGCATACTGTTATACAGGTAAGTTTTAAAAAGGTAAGGATTAGGGAAGATGCTTCATTAGTTGTAGGACAGCGATACAGGCTGTTTTTATTGTGAACGTATTGAGTTCAGTTCAGTGTGTGAGAGGAATAACCCAAGCGGACATTGGATACTCGATACGTGGTCACACGTAATGGTCACTCGTTAAAACTTCCCATGGGATTTCAGACATATTTTGAACACGACGTTTGTGTTATAGTAACTAATTTGAGGTAAAGCTAATTAAGGAATACCTGTGTTCCAGGTGAGGGCGACCTGACAAACGATTTCGACCCCCCGGTGATGAGGAAGAAGGAGCTGACAGATTACGGTGGAGGGACCCCGGACTCTCAGATCACACTCGTTTCTGTAAGGGTCCTGTCTGCTGACATCACCATTAAAAACGGCATGAGGACCAGGTAAGTGTACTCACTAGATATATAAATACAAACATGGTCAATTAATTGTACCGGCTTATTCAATTAATTTGTAATATTGACTAAGTGTAGAACACTATGTTGACGTAGTGAATTTCAAACGGTCCTACATAGAAAGTTAACACGTACGTGCCTAATCGGCGTTTACTTTGCTTTTCTATCGTTTCCCCTTATGATTGTACGATGATAGTTAACGTAAGCACACGCCCCATTATCTAAACTAACCAGATACAGGCTTCGGATATAACTTTGATAGTTATGACGACTCCATAGATCCCCAAATAGACGAGTGTCTATATTTGTATTTGTTCTATAATGAATCAATCATTTGTGTTAGATGTTATCGGGAATGGTTGATTTAAGTAAGTATACGACAAAAGTAAAAAATCTTGTACCTTGTTATTCTATTGCATTGTCTCTGACATATTTTGTTGAATGATAAAATCTGACTGAATTATATATATATATATAAGTGTTTGTTCCGTTATAGACATTGTGGATGTGATGGTCATTGTGATGCCTCCTTCACTGGTAGCAACACCGTGTTTATTTTTGTGATAGTGTTGCTGTGTGTGGCGACAGGTGTTATCGGTATATCTGTGTAGTAATTCACCGGAGCACAATACTACAGTGTTATAAACACTGGTTTCCAGCACCGGAAATATTGTTTGTTCACTGTCGCTTTCATCAAGCTTTTTCACAAAAGAAACGATTTTAACGATAAACGGATATGTTATAGGACTACAGCAGTTCAAGAGATTTTCGTTACAAGGTGAACTGTAAATACTAATCCATTACCGTAAGTAATGACACTTTCCGTTATTCGGTCTATATCGGCTAGTTTTTATTGAATTTTAAAAAAACCCACCATGATATAATTTTTAAAATCTATGTCGAACAAATAAGCGTAAATAATGTAGCCGATAGCCCTTTAATAGGAAACATAGTTATTTATTCCTTATAGGAGGATACAAGTTTTTAACGTCATACTTCCTAAAAAATGAAAAAAGAAAACGTTTTTATGAATAGGTATTCTGAAAAAAACTAAATATTTGTTTTGTGAAATGAGATATTTTTTAATCGCATTTCATTATAAAGATGAGAAAACCAATTTACGATATCGTGTTCTTTACATCTTACCGATGATTATTTGGATAGAAGTACTGTTCGTCACTGCGGTTTATTTCCTCACGGACCATCCCACAAGAGTTGATTAAGTTTATGTACCAGATTGGAGATAGGGTCTATACTGGCAATAGGACACTACAAATCAATATGGTTTAATGAGGTATGGTAATTGGTCTTGCGCTGTGTAGTACGTCCAATAGGACGATAGCGGAATTTTGCGTCAAGCTGTTTGTATCTTGTCATATTGTAATCTTAATTCGAGTAACTAGTATATATTTATTACACCAATGATTGTACAAAATAGCATATATAAATCGCTGTTGGCGTGATTTTTTGAACTATAAAAAATACATATGGGGCAGGAGTTTCCACTGGACTTGTAAATTAGCCACTCTGATGATTCTTTAGTCAGTTATGAAACAGTGTTATAACTAACGAAGCTTTGCCAAAATGTTGTTTCGTTTAACGTTGCATTAATACCCCTCTTACACAGGGTGGCGACCTTTGGGGCTTCCTTGTGTGATCATAAAACTGGCCAGTTCGCCCTTGGAGGCTCACAAGAGGTCGTTCAAATGTGATACATAGGACACTGGTTGCCCAGATGTGGCTCAAATGAGGCAACAGGGAGGCTCACGCATTGCTGTGATTGCAGAATGGACGACCAATGATCGCCTCGTAATAGATGCGTTCTGTTGCAATTTTACTGTCATTCTGGGTGATGATTCTGTCTCCCTTGCGCCTTCTTTGTCGCCGATGATGGCAAATAGAAGGCACAGAGGAGGCTCAAGGGTTGCTCAAACATTGCTCGGGGGTTGCCTATATTGCTTTTATTCGTGTTTGTTGCCGTAGATTTCAAAGGGGAAACACAAGAGAGGCAGGCAATCGTCTCAGTGGACGCACAAGGGAGGCACAAGGATAGCTGGAGCAGTTTTCTGGGTTTAGGCGACCATTGAGCGTCCTGTCCAGTTTTGGTCGCTCATAGGTGGTACAAAGGTCTCAGACCTGTGTAAAGGGACTTAAGAGAGGCCATGTAAATATTCCGGTCTTAGGGCTGTCGATGTGATATAGTCATAACAACCCGTCAACACATTTACGTCATTCATAGCAATAGAGTAGAAATTCAGTAAAAGGAATTTGTTCAGGAGAATAAATGAAGCGTAAAATTGTACAGAACTGATAAAAAGAGGAGAGTTAAAGATATCAACGATTTCCTTTTGTGGGAGGAAACCGGTGTATCCGGAGAAAACTCGTGTGATCTGTTAGGTGACCCATTGCTTTTTCACGTCCGATCGGTGAATCAAACCTCGACCGTCTTGGTGAAAGGCGAGTTCATTATCCATTGTGACACCCGTCTTCCTTGTCTATGTTTTTGACAAGTTTTTTATGGATCATACCAGTTTGATGAAGAGTGCTGCCCCAATATGAAACATTTCAAAATTGAGATAAATATCAAGTAAAGGAAAAGTCATCACAGGGTTAGGTTGTTCCATACAAATGGGTCAAAGTAACCTACCACGTGCTGTAGTATTAATACACATGTTGCATGTTCATAATCCCAGTCTGAATCAGGATGTTAGTAAATAGATCCACAAACTATCCCATCCTGTATAAGCGACATGCAATGAGGAAAAAGCAATATGTGTCAGTTATAAACCAGGTGTATAACCCTACAGTAACATTTAGATCAACCGGAAATTGTCTTTGATTGTCAACATTGTCATGCAATGATGACTTTTTTTGGATTACAGTCTCGTGATATCGTAATCCAAAAGTAATGAAGTTAGCTACATCTCGAGGAAATCAATAATACCTAATACGGCGCTCTGTCGGTAGATGTGACCTGCATTGCTTTGATCAGGGTTTTTTGTACGTGATGACGTTGTCATGAGTGGACCTCATCATAACAGAACAGGTCCAACACTTGATCAAATACTAATCTTGTAGTCAGTAGAATTCGGAGAAAAAATATATTAAAAAAAGATCTCATAATGATTTAAATTAAGGATTGAATCCTGTCTTGTTGAGGTCTATACCCCATAAACCTCAACAAAACAGGATTCTATCCTTATATTTTTGAATGATATTTTAAAAATCGGTCTTGTGCAAGTCTCACACCACAGAACCTTTTGTAGCCATCACTCACTGTTAGACGTCGTCCTGGTTAGATGAATAACTTGTTTGCATTGATTACAACGTAAAAACAAATTCAGATTTAAATTAGTTTTCTTTAATTCCGTTAAAAATTTCTAACGACAAAAAACAAAATTTATATAAAGAACTATTTCCTGTGCTCTTTGGAGTAACAGAGTAATCAGGTTGATAATTTGCTGATGTATTCATGAAAAGTTCGTTGAAAAATAACTTTAAAATGTTAAGTATGTATATTGAGTCGAAGATCAGTATATATGTAAATAACTAACGGTGTAAAACAAGGGCTTCTATCTTGCTATATTGATAGACTTCCGGTTCTGATGACAAAACAGCCGGATACCGGTATTGGTATGGTTAGCTTTGGAGATAATAAGTATCAATTGGGTGTCGCAATACACCAATACAAACACAACCTTTGAACTCACTTTGCACACATTGACACGTTACATCCGGTTCTAAATTACAAGTAATGTTTGGTACGTTATTGTTAAATATTATAATCGATGGTTATAACAATATTAACGTTCAAGAATTTCTGTCATCTTAATATCACATTTTTTCGGCGTCATTGATGTTTCAAGTCGTATATGTATTTTTTCAGTTATATTTGTTGCCATAGTTATATAGATACTTTATTTATGCCAGATGAAAAAAGATATAAATAAACAAAAGGAAACACATCATGAAAGCTTGCCCAAATATCTTCTCACGTCATTAGGTCTTCTACTATTCTGATAAAAGGCTGTCGGTCAGCACGTTCTGTGATAATGCTTTTGTACTCTCATGTCAAATAGTCTGGACACGGGGTTGTTTACACCACAGTTGATCATCAGAATAACGTGTTTACGTCTACAGTAATAGGTTATATAGACAACCCGTAAAGCTATTTTATCACAAGATATTTTTGAGAATTTAAAACAACGTGGTATTTTTGTCACTATTGGGTATTTGGCGTAACAGCTCTTAAAAAAGGTATAATGTGAACTTACACTAATATAACAGTGAAGTGTGTTTGTCGGGACGTATGGGGAATTCGACCACAGTATGTTATTATTTTAATAATGTATTACAGTTACATCTAAAAGAAGTATGAATACTTGTTATTGTTCATAAAACAAATTCCTCACAAGTTTTTGTAAAGCAAAATCGTGAAACGACCAATCGTGAAAGAGAATGACAATTTGATTCTAATTATTAGTGTATCTCAAATAGGTAGGCATTAAATTATGTAAGTTAATTTCTAACAAGCAACCATTAAATGATGTATAATTAATCGCATTCAGATAGTATATCTCTAACTGTTAATCACTGAATGATTTTAGTTTATTACTTACGGATAGTGTATTTCTAACAGGTTGTTTATACCTTACATGTATTAAATACATGATGGAATGTTTCCTTGATCAAGACTCATTAAATTATATATAATGTACATATCTTTCACATGTAGTATATTTCTAACAGGTAGTCATACGTCATCATCAGAATAGCTGTCGGTCTGATTTTATGTTGCAGTTATAGATTGCAGGTTTTCTTTATTTAAATGGACAGTTCGACAGAGAAAATTCATCTGTCGGGGATACTACATCCCTGTATAAGTTATGCTTACCTGCGTGGTTTTTTTTAAAGTAAGGAATGGTCCAATGGCAATATCCAATTACATTAATCTAACTGATGTGAAAATGTCTTTCCAGAGATGCGAC